TTTTTTTTTTTTTTTCATTCATTTGCATGTAAAGCAGTTATTAAAAATGAAATAATAAATAATGAACAATAACAAACAAAAGCAATAAAAAAAAAAAACAAAAATAATAATAATAATAATAATAATATTGAACTGCGGTAAATAAGCAGTGAATCCAGCATAGTTTAAGAGAGATTTACAAAATTTTCAATAAGTTGTAAACAATTCCCGTAAATATTACATACTGTCATTATCACATAATAGATCGCTTCTAGAGATGGCTAAAGACTAGAAATCTTTTGATTTTTGCTTTTTCCACACTTTACGCATTCAGAGTTCTCATCGCAAATCGTTCTCATTGAAAGCATTGCTTGTATAAGAACTAGAAATAAGTCTCCTTCAAGGAGCCCAACCACAATGACAACAACAATTACTGACCTGAATAAGATTTCGTTTTCGATAACTTTAAAGCACGTGTTCAACTTATGTCTATATGGTCTCATAGTTTTGTCGTCTTACTACAAAAATCCAATAAATTGCTTACGCTGGCTTGAGTTTTTTTCATAAGATGCTCAATGCTTCAGAGATATATGCAGATGGTATTCGAAGGGCGATACCTTGGCACTGGAAATTTAGAAAAAATTTGCAAATTACATAAGCATTTACTTGGATGTGGGGAAATGATATAAGAGCTCGCTTCACATTAACTTTGATTAAATGTAAAGAATAGATGATAACAAATTGCTAGCCATTGACGTTTGTGATGGTGCTACACGCTCGTTTCCGATAGCTTTGCTGCAAGCAAAGAAAAATAACCTAAAGCAGTTGCTAGTTGTAAATGTTTCCAAATAAGTTAAGCTAAGGATATATGCGATTCCATTCGCCTGCCGATAGTTATCAAATGGCTGACTGAGGAATGTCTCAAGCTTCATAAAGATCGCATTTTCTCTTCAAACCAACTCAATTCAATTTCACCTTTTCGAATTGCTATTTATGCAATACTTGAACTCATTAGTTTTCGATTTGTCCACCAAGTACTTACTTGTTTTCAATTTACACTTGAATTCTTTGTAAATAAATAAATAAATAAATAAATGAAATAATAAATGACTAACAAAACGTAATAGATATGAAAGTTGAAAAGAAATTTACCAGAAGATTAACTTCCTATACTTATTGCTTCATTATTTCGATCAGTTTTATCTTTATTGTATGTCCGTTACAGTCCGTTAAAGTTAAAACCAAAAATCATTTGCTTTTGTGTCCGTTCTTTCAATGATTTTCCATTAGTTCGGAACGTTGGAACTTGACATTTGAAACGTCAGGGTTGAATTTGATTATTGACATATACTACCCCTTATTATATATATATATATATATATATATATATATATATATTGTTACGAAAATCCCAAAGGTAGTGAATTTCAGCTAAGTAATTTTCCCTAATAATAAATTCCGTAAAGAAGGAAAAACCAAATGAGCATACGCAGACGCCTTATGCAAAACGATTAGAGGAAAAGCAGGCTGGGATTAGAAATAAAACCATAAATTTAGGTATAGTAACATGCTTGTAAAAATGTATATAAATAGAGTATTTGTGGAAGGGAGAGTTAGTCGGGCAAGAACATAGAAGTTGACAGTAAGGCCAAAATAAATTGTGAGTAATCCTACATTTAAGGAATGTAACTGTAAATAAATGATCCTACTGTTAAGGAATATAATTGTAAATCAAAGAACTTTGAGGTGTATTTCCCTTGAACAAAATATCCACGATCCAGTGATACGGCTTGTATCTTAGTTCATAACAATATATATATATATATATATATATATATTAAAATTTGAAAAATTCTAAAAATTGTTTTACATTTTTATTAACAATATACGACGTATGCCAGATATCGGTCATTAATTTGTCAACTAGAGGGCATCTATTTATCAAAGACAAAACAGACAGACAGACTCATCTTTATACCACATACTACATATTTATATATATTTATATACTTAAATAGTAATAAATTGATATAAACGCTTTAACTATTAATTGCTTTCATCAATTAGTTAAAATAAATGAATACTTGGAAGTGTCATATTAACGTTAAAATGATAACTTATCATGATATAAGTTAAGGTGCTCCTAATCCCATTGAATTTATTATTATTGCGAACGGTATGTACTTAAAATTTACCGACCAACACTTCTTATTAAAATGCAAAAGCGCCTCTTTGTCGTATTTGAGCAGAGAAGAGATAGAGATCTCGTATTTTCTTTTGCCCTATGTTTACTTTACTGCATTTTAGACCTTTTACTCAATTCATTATTTCGTTTATAATTTATGAAAATAAATTTCTTTGCAATTTTTGTATATTTTTATTTTATATATGTAATCATTTACAAATCGAAATTAATTATTTTTTTATTTTTTATATAAATTACGTAAGATTTTTATGTTCAATCAATATATCTTTAAACATCAGTTTATTTAACATCGATAGCGATTTCTTAGACGAAATTTATTTTTTATTTCAAAATTTTTCTTCATTACAAAACGTGTGCACCTAACCTGATTCGAATAACTAAAATAATTATATACGTCTATGTTTAAGCATTTAAATTATAACATTAATATAATTTATTTTATTTATTTATTTTTATTTTTTACGACGACCATGGCATAAGAGTATAGTTAATACGTGTCTCCAGGAAAATATATAGTAAACGATTCAGAAAAGCGTAATGCAATTCTAAAGAATATCTCGCTATCTACTCGATGCGGAGATCTTAAAAAAATCTTTCATATACTCAGACTAAGTAAGCGAGTAAGTAATGATCAGATAATTTCGTTTTAAAAAAGGAAAACATCCATCAATTTATATATAGAAGCTTCTAATATTTGCTTTATGTTCAGTCAAAAATCGATAACTTTTTTTTCGTTAAAATCTCGGTTGCCATCCCGGCACTTTTTTTTCTTTAACATATTTCACATTATATTTATACATTGAATAAAACTCTTCAACTTATATAGTTTGTATTAGAGGTTGACGCGTTAAGATTTCCCCATAAATGTCATGTCAGGCCATGTGCGTTCGTAATCTATCTACTTCGATGATGTTGCGGTTCCATTTTCTGATTTTTATTACATTGCCAGTAATCATAGCAGCAGGAACATCCTCTTATCCGAAAAATTTGCTGTCCAGTTACTCCAGTCCATCTTACAAACCTAAGATATAATGATTGGGCTAAGAGTATGGTATACGCAGCGATGTATTAATATTTCTTGGCTGACACTGAACAATCCCTGGGTTAGCAGAAAAGGCGGATAAATCGAAATTGTATAGAAAAGCCTTTGCTGCCCAAAGTAAGAACTACGACTTAATAAACTAACCTCGGTTAGCAGAGGTGTTAGGGGTTTTCGACGAATAGGCCTTGTTCTACCACCTGCATAAGTTTTTTCAAAGAGTTTTATTGTACATCTACAATTACCCCGAAATTGCGAAGACATTAAATATTTGGCGTGGTAAACAAAGCTCGCCTTTTCCAAAGCGGAGCTGGACCAAGAGCAGGAGTTTGGTAAATAATTGGGGGAAAAGGGAAAGACACTATTCCTTACTCCGTGTGGCTTCGAGTAGTGTGCGATTAAACATACCCGTATGATGATGTCTCCGATAAACTCTAGAAGCGGTTGTAAATTCTGTCATATATTAAAAGGCGTACACTCCCACCCTCGCTTAGCCAACTTGGCATTCTTTTAATATTTGCTCGAAATTTATTTAGTTTCATGTCGACATATTGAGCTGTAACTAATCGCCGACGATCGATTTCAACGATTGGCGTAAATGCTGTCATTCATTAATTAGTTGATACGATATCTTCGAACGATAATCGAAGAGTGTTGCCATTAATTGAGAAATTGTTGAACTTTTTATAAGAGGGGGAAGAGAAAAAACTCAATTAGTTAGTTATGGAGAGATTTTGTTTATTAAATTTGATCTGACCTGAAGGATCGCTTAACAAATTTGAACAATGAAAAGTACATTTACTAGATCAGTGTTTAGACGTGTTGTGTCAAGGAGACACATTTTTACATTTTATCCTTAAAGTTTGTTATGATTTATTTCATTCGGGAAAGGGATATTTTTTAGGCAAAGCTTACTACGATAACCGTCTTAGTTCATATTATGCTATATACATATATATATAGTTATGCAGTATCATTACGTGGCATGCTATGCTTGTAATGATAGGACTATGAGATAAATATTCATTCAAAAGGGAGCCCTTAAATATGAATACATAGTGTGCTTCTTACGCTGCGAACGAACGAGTAGTGACAGATATTTCGTTTAAAATTTCGCACAATCTTTGCAATGTCAAAGATTTCCGCTTGCAATTTTAACGTATTTCCAATTTTTTCACTTCCACTATATCGCACTAGTCACACTAGTTTAAAGAAAAAAAAAAAAGGCAAAAACAAAAAGACTATTTATTATATATCACTCTTTACTAATCTCTTAAGTATCGTTGTTAATTCGAATGTAATAGAATTTTTACAACCGGCTACCGGCTTTACTGTTATCTCGAATATTATATTAAGTTTGAAATGAAAACGAAACGAAATTTTCCAATCGAGTTAATGCTAAGGCGTCAAATAGACTCATCGTCTGCTGTTCCTTTTGCAAATTCTTTCGTTAAAGATTTTATAGGAAATTGAAGGCATTTAATCTGATTACTGAGTCGCATTCTATTTCATTAACAGAAAAACAATGTTTTTTTTTTTTTTTTTTTTTTTTTTTTTTTTTTTTTTTTTTTTTTTTATTGCCTTAGTCTACAAGTATTTCGCATTATGATATGATTTGCTTGAGGTATTATTGATTCATAAATATTTAAAATTCACATTTTGTCGCAATTTTTTTGGCAGTACGCGTTTAACCATCGGCGTGCTGAATTGGCCTGAAGTGAGAGTTGCGGTGCTTTTTCATAATAAATGACATTAAATTAAAAAAAAAAATAAATAAAAACGAAATCAAAACTCACTTCAAAAAAACAAAATTAAGTTTATTAACCATACAGTGAGTGAATGATGTGTGCATGTTATAGGTAATGTGAACTCAATCAAAACCAAAATCCAAATTAAAATCAGCAAAATGTTCAATTTCATGAACTTATTAAAAAAAGCAAACAACACAATAAAAGTTTAACTTTAGCTCTTGAATATTTAATCGAAGACTTGAAGAAAAACTACATTTTAAGATGAATTTTGAACAAGTTTTGCTCACCTCTTCTTGTCTCTGCCGTATTGTTTTCTTTTTTTTTTTTTTTAAAGCTCTTCATTTATATTCCTAATATATGGAGAACTTGTGATTACAATCGGATGCCGGTAGTAAATTGCAAACGAATGTCTAATGCGGGCCTGAATTTAAAAACTATTTTTTATTTTCATCGTTAAGTTGACTAACACTGAAGGTGTTGCGATAAGGGCGAGACTCATCTGATCTTGTTTTCATTAATTCGATCCTTTTCCTGAATTAAACGTCCTTAAACACGGCTGGCTATGCAAAGCAAAGCAAAACTGTAATCGGTATAAAGATGAGACATAACCTTAAAATGTTGACCAATTGCCCTATTGCTGCGCCAATAGGCAAAATCCAATACTCTTTAAAAATGCATACATAGTAATATATATATGTATATATACATATTTATATGCATATTACACATTTCACTAATGATTCCTTTAAAACGATTAACGTTCACGCTACTCTCCAATAATTAAATGTAATTTTCCAATACAAGTTTTTTTAATACTCGAAAAAAGATTATTTAATAATTTTTATCTTAAAAACTTTCCACAAGTTCTGATTGCGCAATTCTAAAAGAAAACAAAAAAAAAAAAAAAAAAAAAAAAAAAAAAAATGCTTACTATGTAAAATGAAAAATCTATATTTTAAAAAAAATATAATGATAATCATGTGTTAATATTTAAGAAAACAAAAAAAATAAATAAATAGTAATTATACATTTAACTAACGCTTATTTCTATATATAAGGGCTTACTGCAAGCGAGATGAGCGCATATTAATTTTATCGTACCGTTTGTAACAGCATTCACCGAAGATCGTAAATGTTAGGTGTGCGAAGAATAAGTCTCCGCCTATGTTTTAGCACAATTTTACTTTGCCCAATGTACGGTCCAACGACATTTTTTATGCAAAATATTGCATTAGGTCCAAATTGGATAGTCGCAAAAGAAACCGTCATGCCTAATAGAATGGAAGCGTAGCTCAGAAGATAATAAATATATTATGTATTCAAACCCCTTGCTCCGTACGAAACGAGCAGTGTATAACATTCGCATCAATTTATTATTCCCAACGTGCCAGGGATCGAACTCGGCCCGGCCGGTTGCATACAAGATATTCTAACCATTGGACCATACGGTATCCAAGTTGACTTCAAGAAATTCTTCTTAAGTTTAAAAAAAAGGTTGAAAAAAATGACGTAAGCCTTGTTAGTGTAGCAATACGATTTGTTTTTCTCCGCGAAATAAATTCCAGGAGTAAAGTTCTAAAACACTAGCGTCTTAGACTATCGGCTTTATTGAAAACTCTATCGTACTTGAGACTTGAACCCACGACTTGTTGAATTGTTAGTCGAGATCTTTTGGTATAATTTTTCACGATTCTCTTCTCTGAGGAGAAGATCGCGGCTAACAACTCGCGGCTACGATCGCCGATTCAAATCGCACGTGCTATGGAGTTCTCAATACAGGCGAGCATATATAATCTAAGTTATAAATAACGGAAATATAATATACAATGTGACCAGGTTGCGAATCCGCACTCTTCACAATGCATTGTTACGATCATCGACAGGCTATATATATTTATGGTTCGTTTGCCAACAATATTTTCTGTAATGTCGTTTAATATTTCAATAATTCAGCAGTTCGTGTCCAACTTTTGGAATTGAAAATTGGCAAACGAACGGACTATTGGCGATTGTATCGAAAGGGCATCTAGCTGATCAGGACTTTATTTTGCGTATATATATGTACATATATACGTATATGCAAAACTGATTTATTTCACTGAAGGTATATCGATCGTGGCACAACATTTTGGTTGCCATCATCAGTAAACGAAATTCAAATATGACTAACGAGAAAAGAAGCCGAAGAGAAAAAGTTGAAAAATGCGAGTTTGCAAAATGCCTAAGGTGAAGGAATCGAAAATATCCTACATACTCGTTAAGGAAATGTAAAATTTTGATATCAGCTACACCTCATCATTTTTGTTCTATTGAGAGTAATAGCAACATCTCTTTCGAGAAACATATTTCTTATGTTCAAATTTTTATGCCGCTAATCCCTGCTTAGTGATATCTTCACGTTGTCAGCTATTCTTTGCTCTTTCACTTTTCAATTGTTAAGAATAGTTTTTAGGATAATTTCCCGGTATAATTATCACCTTTGAACGTCGTCTTCGTTTAGCGTCATGGGTTGGCTGAATTTGAAAGGGATCAAGAAGTAATACCAGCGTTGTATAAACGAAATTCCGATTTTTATATTATATTGAAAAATAGCAACATTAGCATCCTCCCTATTAATCGTAAAACAAGCAAATGAAATGAAATAAAATTTTATGCATATGTCCATACGTCCATACATATCTCGATTAAAGAACCAGGATATGAATTTAAGTTCTTTTGGTAATATCTGTCTGTCTATGTGTGCAATGACGTTTTTCTTTTCAATTAGGAACGCAAATGTTATCGATTTATTTTCATAGATTATGTTCAGCAAATGATTTGGTTCGGTATTTAAGAAGCAAGTGATGTTGAGTGCTCAAGATTCTTATTAAACTGTTTTTGCTTTTTAAATAGTTGGAAAAAAAAAAAAAAAAGAAAAGAAAAGTTCCCATTAAAGGTACACAACGTATTCTATAATTATTATAATTAATTTATGTTGTCATTGTATATATGTATGTATGTATATATGTATGTATATATGTACACATGTATATAAGTATATTTGTATGTATGTATGTATATAAGTGGGTGAGAGTGTGCTAAACTTATCAAATTCTATGTATGAGACTTTTCTACTTTAAATTACAATAGTTGAGTAATTTAAAAATTGAGATAAATGCTTGATAACAATAAATAACAACAAGTAAAAGGTGTTATTTTATTTGCAGATAAAAAAAGTAAATAATTTTGAAAAAAGCAAAAAAAAAAACCGAAAAAAAATTTAATAAAATTTTTTCCTCTTTCAAGCGAATCTCGACTACCCACCGCCTAAAGCAAGCACATGCACAGGTGAAAACTGTTTGTTTATTAACAAATTATCGATAGCTCATCGAAAGTTTGTATATATTCGTAAAAAGAGTTTCGAACGATATCTAATGCAGTTTAATACATTTTCTCACAATTTCTTTAACTATTTGGATCAATTAGGTTCATTTTCAAATTTAATCTATGACCATTAAGTAGAAATTTCAAGTCTATAGATTGCATCGCAATTTTAATTGATGAGTTTAATCAAAAATCTATGCATGTATTGATGGTTGTTAAAATCTACGATGAATTAAGATCGGAAAACAAAACTACAATTAGTTTCCAAATTTCAATATGGAAAATCACTTTTTTTTTTTGTTTTCTAAAAATAGCAATAAATCAACTTAAATAATTAACTTTATGTAATTTGAAATATTTATATTGAATTTTTTAACACAAATTTACCACACGTGTAATACACAATTTAAATATGATTTTTATACCTATCATCGAAAGATGAGAAGAAAGCTTCAGAGACTCAAAAAAAAAAAAAAAAACAAATATATAAATATACTTGATCAGTGTCAAAGTCTGAATTGATTTAAGCATGTCTGTCTGCCCGTTGCTCCGATTGTGTAATGTCGTACAAATGAAGCTATCGACTATAGATTTAGTAGAAACATTGGAAGTTCTTGTACGGAAATGGGACAAATCGGCCGAAGGACACGCCTATAGTACCACATAAACAGTGAACAACTCTGTTGTCAAGATGGATGAAAATTTGCATTTTTACGCGTTACTCAAAAACTATATTTGAAATTATATTCTATGGGCGATGCTGTACAAAAAGGGGAAAAATTGACTACAAAATGTTTTTTTGTTTTTTTTTTTCAATCAACCTTTATATCGCGCAGAAGTAAACTTCAAGGCCACTTTCAAATTGGGCATGAATTGGCGCACGTTTTCCGCTCTTCGCCCGTCCGCCTGTCTGTCTGCCCAATTGTGTGTCAATGGTAAACATTCTTTTGCTAAATGGAGACATTGTCTACAAATTTTGCAAAAGAATTTAAAAATGAGCCAAACGGTTCAAAGAGCAGGCCTACAACACTTGATTGATATAAAAAATTTGGTCATGACCGAATATAATTTTCCCAATTTTTTTTTTTTTTTTTATTATAGAAAACAAACTTTCAAAATAATACTTAGATTTCTTATTGTAAGAATATATTTGTCCATAATTATTAGCCCATGATATTCAGCAGATTAGTTCAGCTATGCCAGTAAACTAAGTGAGCTATCTATTTTGCTCGATTTATTAAGATTAATAGCTTATATCAACTGCCCAAAAAGCTTTTACATCCACTCTTGAGAGTTATAACAGATTTATTATGTCATTTGTAGTCATTCGTAGACAGTATAAAGTGTCCTTTCTTCCGAGAGAGAGAGAGAGAAAGAGAGAGTAACTGCATGAAATATGTGCTTTATAAATCTCTAATTTTTGTACTGTAAAACGGCAGACATACATGCTGACTTGGATGGCAGTTCTGTTTTAGATCTGATTTCTGTGAAACAGAATCAATATAATCCTATATTTTAATATTTGAATTCGACTTCATTTTATTTATTCATCTAGCTTATGGATAATTATATCTGTGAGTGCCCAGAACTGATTAATAATAAATATTATTTATTGATACCGGAACTCGTTAAGAAATTTGTACTGAGAAATTCTAATCGATCATAAATATTTGACTCGATTTCGCATAAAAAAAAAAAATTGAAACATATAATGTTCTCGATATAAGTTCATTGTCACGGGTATTTATTTACAAATAAAATATTTCCGATATATTCATCCGTGCAATTTAAATTCCAATATTGGTCTTACTTTTTGATCTGTCAATAACAATATTTTGCTTTCTTCTTTTCTTTTATGATGATGATGTTTTTCCCTTTCATTAGTGAATACTAATAATAATAATAATAATAACATTAATAATCACTAGTACCTGATATGCACAGCAATCATGAACTTGAACTATTATAACTGTGACATTATAAAATGTGCAGCATTGTATGATATGTATATATATGCGTACATATATATGAACATGTCAACGGCATTACGGTTGACAGCCCTCAGGTTTATAAAAATTATTGTTACTATTATACTATACGTGCATTGTGACTGATAACAAAAAGCAAAAAATAAAAAAAAATAAAAAAAAAAAAACACGTTAACAATATAAATTAAACAAAAAAAAAAAAAAAAAAAGAAAAAGAAAAGAATATATGAGTTGTAATAAAGGCAAGTAGAAACACGGCCCCCCACCCCACACACCTACTTTCATCTACACACAATTTTTCAATACAAGGCAGTCTATGGAGTCGACTCTAAATCATTTTCAACAGCATTCGTTTCGAGGCGAAAAAGTCCAATCGAACTGATGGATGTATCAAAAGCTCCCAAACAAGTTTTCGCAACTTTTTCTTAAATCATTAACACCAGATTGCTGGATGTTGGCTGCACATAATACCTGCTTTACCCGCAATCGGTCAATTTAACTCAAACACCTCAACTAAAGATTTTTACAAAATATTAAATATTTTATGCAAAGCCTTGCCTTTACGTGCATGCATTACGTTTTTAAAATATATTAACTGTAGATTTTTTCATTACATCTAGCAGAGACCTGACCTCGGCCTGACTTTCTATTTCTTTTGCATTATATTCGAACTTGAGAATTCAATCGTTTTGATCCCGAATTTGTCTGACTTATTCGACATGTATTCATCAAATGGGTCTAGTCTGGCTTTAGTTGCGACCACTTGCTCATCGGCCGTTATGTCTGCCTCAAGTCTGTAATAAGTTTGATTGTTTTCAATTAATTTCGTCCCCATACTTTATTTATTCGTCTGCATAACACATATGGATTTCTTGGACTCTGAAGTGGGCAAAGGAAAGGAATTAGTATTTGTATACATATATGATTTAAAAAAAAAAAAATTAAGTCAAATTAACTCGCTCCGGCAGTCTAATGTTAAGAATATGTGGACTCGAGCATTGTCGTGATGGTAGATGATGCTTCGTAGACTTTACTTGACCTGGCCGCTTTAATCGTATTAATTATTGATGGTAAAGCGGGGAATCAAGCACCCGGCCAGACTGGAAAGGGGCATGCATTAAGGATAACACTTTAAAATAAAATAAGATATTTTGTAAGAACACGAAAAGAAGTTCGCCGTGAACGACATTATCCGAAAAACTTAAATTAGTCAAGAAATGAAAGTAATTATTTAATAAAGCAATGAGGACGAAGAAGAGAACGAATTACCTTAAATCCGTTACTGATGATGACTTTAATCATTAAGTGCTTACATGTATTGTGGTCTACTTTTCCCTTGAAAACGGCATTTATTGAGAGAAATTGCTTCATTTTTTATTAGTGAATATATCTGCAATCAATTTCTGCAACTCTTTCCTATCTTTCGGGCAATACCGTGGCGATACCGTGTCGAAAAAACGATAATGGTTTGGCAGCGATCCAATCATCGACCCATTTCCGCTCTTCTACAGCTTTGCGCAGCTGCGTGCCAGCCACGCCATACTGCATCGATTTGAACAAATGAACGCGCTATGCCTGATGAGTACGCTGTATGCGGCGGAACTTCCCATTCGTGCGACAATGCAACAGTGTATTCTTAATCACTCTTGCAATGTGTGCGTGAGGATGACTTTCCATCTCTTAACTGCTATTGCTGGTCTTTTATGCAGCAATACATCGTTCAGTTTGTTCAATTGATATCGGTAGACATCTGCAGTTATAGGTTGTTTCGGTTCTGGCGGCTCGTATTACACTACGCCTTGCTGATCCTACCATACGCTCAGCAAAACTTTATAGCAATTCCGCTCGACTAACCCATGGGTTATCGCGATATTGAAAAGATGTTCGAAATGATATTTTCCCTCACAATTCCTATGGTAGCCGTTTTCCTTCTTTTGGGTCTTTCCCGGCTTTCCTTCAAATCAAGCTACAAAAGCAATGAATGTCGAAAATGTAATTTTGAGTGTTCCATGATTACCGTCCATATACACTAAACAAAGCATTAATACTAAATAGAAAATACAGAGAGAGAGAGAGAGAGAGAGAGGTCAAAATCATCGCCATTAACTGTTGTGTTCATTGATATTTCGTATTACTTTATCAATTTCATCGTGAGATATCGCTGATCAAAATACATGCAAGCACCTCTTATACTTTGTGTAGAGATGGACCACATTGACCATTTTCGCTGGTGAAAAGACAAAGACACTTTGCACATCTTCAAATTATTTTCACCAATAGACATCGTTGACCAATAGACACCGGACCGCAAGACCGTAATTGTATCCAAATCTTACTTGTTCCAAGGTAAGGCTTATGGTCTTATTGTAGGACTTTTGATCAATTAAGGCAAATGATAAATGCATGAAAAAATAGTCACTGAATGAAATCTTCGCTGAATCGCATTTACAGATAATAAATAATAAATATTGCATTTTTTCGGGCAATCAACCAAATTAAAAACAATTGTTACCATCTTTAGCATTCAAGTTTAATGGATTTTTTGGTTGGCTTCAGTTTTAAAACAAAGGAATTTTAATCAATTTTACATTTTTTTTTTATAATAATTATTATGTAAAATTGTATTAATAATAATAATATATGAAATTTTCTTAATTACTATCGTAATTATTAATTATTTTATAATAAATATATAATTATTCTTAATTAATCGTAATCATATTGATTTTTGTTCTTTTTTCTCTTTCCCCTTTTTAGAATTGAATAGAAATATTCGAAAATCTCTTGCAACGCTCGCGGATACAGGCAAACATAATAGAGACGCATCATGACTGGCTTTACAAACAGCGGTTTCGAAAATGATGAACCTGTTAAGGTAAGAGCGCATTCTATCCTAATATTTCAACTCGAAATATCATTGATTAAATCAATATCAATTACTCAGAACTGTATAGTTGGTATCAATATGATTATACGGCTTAAGTAATATTGATTTTCACATCTTTATGCTTGTATGTCACTTGTAAAGGTTCCACATGGTACACATTGTGCAAATGCATGTAATGATGTGCGATAGATCCAACTCTTGTTATACCGATGGATTCAAAATCATTTTTTTTTTTCTGTCTTTCCTATCTGTCCATATTCTTGTGTTGTTTAATCCATAGGTCGCATATTTTGAAATATTTTGAAAAATTTTCTTAAACTGGTATGTTTTGGCTCAAGGACGAACCCTATACATCACTATTCGGATTGAATCGTTCTACGATCACTTCCCATGTAACGCTTTATTTTGAAAAAAAAAAAAAACCTGAAAATTTTAAACTTTTTTTATAAAAATCGGTAAGTGACAGCATCGGGATATATTACATTGATGCAGAGCATTTACACTGGGTGGGCCAATGTTCAAATTCCCTTTTTTTATATATATAAGCTTTCCAATGTAAAGTAAGCCTTAATATGTCGAAAATGTTTCATTTCTAATATTTTATGATGAAGATTAGGCCATGATAGTAATTTTGCATAGACATCGATTACACCAAAATTCGGATCATTTAAGTATATTTGCAATGCACATAATGGTTCTAACGTGAAACGGGTCTATTGCGGTAAACATTGGTCTATCATTGTAATTTGACACAGAAACGAATTGTAGTAAACTTGGACCATGTAAGTCTGTGCTTTGAAGCCTACCGCTTGCAAGCGGTCCCATTGAAAGGAGGTTTTTGTATAGAAATAAATTTTAATTTTTAAGTCATTTCTGACGTAAGACAATGAAGAGTAACAAGAAAATGAAATTGACTACCAGAAAAGTCATGCCTTTACAAGGAGCCACGTAACATACACATTTTGGTATTTTATTGTGATATTGAGCAATGAATTTTGCCAAGTAAAGTAATGTAGGGTATTAAAAAGCCGACTTGCATAAATATAATGTTCATTTCATAATTCAAAAAATTGCATATACATCACGATAGTCATGGCACAATTGGCTTAATTGCGTTTTGTCTCCCTCTCTAGCCCTCCTCTTTCTTTCTTTCTCTCTCTCTCTCTCTCTCTCTCTCTCTCTCTCTCTCTCTCTCTCTCTCGGTCTCTGCGTGTTGCAATCTTGTGAAGGTCACTGATTGATGAAATATTTAAAGCATAGAAATGAAAATCCTCATAAAATATGCTGAATAAGTGTCTTCCACTTGACTTTACTATTCGCAGACTCTGTCTCTGATGAAGCAGGAATACGAAAATTGCAATTTCCTTGATTCCTGTATCTTCATCACAAGCACACAAGTTTGATAGGATAATCGAAACTCCTGAGCACTTTTAGAAATTCGATCTTTTCATATCAGATGTCTACGTCCAAAACTGCCGACAATGTATTTGAAAACCGAAAACAAACTTGGATCAAAAATAATTCAAAACCGTTTCGGGCATATCTTGCAGCAGTATTTGGTTGATTGACGATATTCAAATATAAAATATTCAAAATTCTCCCTAAGATTTTTTTCTTTATTATTTGAAAAGTCAATGTACTTCCATTAACGTTTAGCATGATAATTATTGTTTACACAATTCACACAACATCACTTACACCGGCATATTATGCATCTGGGCAATACACTTTACACTATTCATATTAGCTACAGCAAGATGACGATAGGTAAAGTTTAAACGAACGATTTGCTTGCAAGGGAACAGCAAAGACTAATTGCAATCTATAAGAGAAAAAGAGAAGACTTGGGAATTAGTAGTCAATGTGACGAATCATTGTAGAAAAATTTTAAATTTCGAGTCCCCCCCAACTCATCTATCCAAGTCGAAAACGGCAAAAATATCTCAAAAAGCATCATAAAGCATCTTATTGCGTTAATATCATTGAAAATGTAACGAACGCCCTCTCTGTATAAAAGTAGTGGTGAATTAACAGAGCGATTGCAAAATTTCATCCTTTTTTTTATTTTTTTTTTATTTTTGAGAAAATGCAATTACAAGGATAGATAGATAAAGTCATAAGTTAAGATTCAATGAAGAAAGCGAAAGGACGATAGTCTTTGTCTCGATAATTATGATCTAATTGTAAGTTAATTAATAGCACTTGAAAGCTACGATCCAAGTTCTAAATAGATCGAACCCGAGCCGTAAGCATAAGCAATGTAATCACTTATCGCCTGGAGTCTGGATATATTGCCGATGCTTTCAGTCCTATAAATTGTACTTCGGCCTCTCGGTTTCCCGGACTCTCAATCCTTTCAGTTCGATTTATGACAATTTTTGCAAAAAAATTTTGACTTCGCATAAAGCTTATGCCTATTGCAATGCTTGTTGCGATGACCGTTACATTGTACTTTGTCGACTCATTCTACCGCAAGATAAGAAGCTTAATATGAGAAAATTATTCATACAAAGACAAAAGACTAATTCTCCGGTAATATATGAATCAATAGTTTTGAATTTATCATATGTGTTATATGTAGAATGTATATATATACATATATATTTATACTCATATGAAACTTGATGTACTAGATTCTCTTGCAAATCGTAATAATAACAATTATAATAAATAAATGTTCTGTATAATGATATGACCTTCAGTCTGTCTATACTTCTCTAATATATATATATATATATATATATATATATATATACAAATCATTATTTTATATTTTATAATTTATTTTCATTCGATATCTTTGTTTAAAATCTCTATCTGTATGTGAAAACAAAATACAAAGACAAGAAAGAAAGAAAAAAAAAAAAAAAAAAAAAAAAACAGTTTACCTATATTTAGTTTTTATTTAATTTCATTTATAAGAGGAAGCACATTAAAACACTATTGATTTCCTTAAGAGAAAGGAAGCAGACATCGTGTCTATTTATATGTAATATTAACGTATATTTTTCTTAATTATTGCAATATAAGTATTTATGCAAATCTATGATTAATAAACAACTATAATAATAAAATTTTTAAAATGCAAAATAGAAGACGAAGACATTTATGGCTAATTCATATCATTCGCATATATAGATACCTATTACATTTATATATTAACAAAATTTACGCATCGCATTCGAATATGATGACATTAAATAATTTATAGAAATCTTAATCGTTACACTAACTTAACTCTTTATTCATATAATATATATATATATATATATATATATATATAATAGATCGATAATTTCGGGGAATATAATTAAAATCATTACTTTTCTTTGCCACTTTCAACTTTTCAACTTAATCTAAATATATTTTTAACATTTCGATACCTTTTCATAGCACAATTTCTCTCAAGTTGTCTCGAAATTCAATTTAGTTCCAGCAATCATTTCAATAGTTCAATAGTCGCTCAATAAGTTCTTTAGAAAATGCATAATGCATTGATTGCATTGCGATATCCATTTGGCTAATAGCTGTCTTCGATGTCCAAATTTTCATTTAAAAGTAATAAATGCACTCACCTTGGAATGTTGAGCATCTCTTCTAACTTGCAGGAGAAAATCTTAATACTAATGATATATATATATATATATATATGCAATATGTTTTCTTGGAAAAACAAATGTTTCTCATTTTTTACAAGATTTTGTAAAGCTTTCGAAAGCTGAACTATACAAACTACAAAAAGATCGCTTATGCTTAGCAAAATAGTACAATTTTATGATTTCATTGTACCAGAGATCGAAAACCTGGCTTATCCCGATGTGCCCATTGGACCATTGAACTTCAACAAAGTCTTATTAAGTTTTTATAGTGAAACAAGAAGAAGAGTTATTTTCAAATTAAAAAATTAAAAAAAAAAAATAAAAATTTATCTAAGTCTTGTTACTGTCGCTCTCCGTCTTTAAAGAGGTAAGATAATTATAATCTGTTGTCATCGAATCGTTTACATCAAGCACCGTTATCGTATAAAAGATTAAAGAAATATTAACAAATAAATTTACATCTTCCATAATATTGGGTGGGTGTGGCTGATATTTTCCATTTTCACCATAAAAGTGGAAGCTATTGCGGGCTATGTGCTGTAGTTAATGAGTAATAAACCGAAAAGCACAGAAATCAAAGATTTTTTCAGTTTCGGTTGCATAAGCGTGTGGGCGTTGTAGGTTTATCCTATGACCGATTTATGTTATTTTCAAATTCTTTTGCAAATTTGTAGGCGATATCTTGATTTTTGCGAAACAGAGAATGTTTACCGTTGATATTACACACTTGGGCAAACGGACAGATGGACAGAAGCGCAGAAAAAAATGCCTAGATTCATATCGAATTTGAAAATGGCCAAGAATTAATACATTAATACATTAATACATAATGGTTTCTGCGCCCTATAAAGGTATTGAAAAAAAATTGATACACTATGATATTGGGTAGGCGTGGTCAACGTTTTCCATTTTTGTGCACTTATCCGCTGTAATTTGTGAGTAATGAGCAAAACGCCAAGTTTTCCTTCTTTTTGAAAAACAAAGGTGTTCTCAGTTTATGCAGTATTGTAAGCGTGTCCTTGAAACAATTTAGCCTATACTCAATACCAACTTGCGTACAAGAACTTTGAGTGTTTCTGCCATATTTGAAGTTGATGGCCTCATCTTTGCGGCCAGAAGAATGTTTAGAACAGACGTTGCACAGACGGACAAACGGACAAACGGACAATGCTCATATCGTTTCGAAATTTAATGCTGATCGTGATATATATATATATATATATATATATGTATAGTGTATGGGGCCTCTGAAGCTTATATGTATATACATATATATTAATATTAACATCGAATATATTAATTAGATATATGAGTCAAGGAATTTTACCCTTAATGTAAAAGTGTCAGAGAACTAAAATTTATTTTGAACCTGGGCAGCAAAGTTAACTT